GGCCAAGTGTATTTTATAAATTGAAGCAACTTTAATATGTTGGTCATTTCTCTTTGTAATAATGTGTTGATATAACATTATAGCTTAGTGGAAGAAAATTTAAGAAAGAAGCATTTGCAGTATAAATAAGTGCACTAACAAAGTATGAATTTCTAGCAACATTAATGACAAATTGACTAAATAAAATAGCCTAACTATTTCACATGTTAAATGCTCCTTTACTTCATTATTAAATATCTATTCTAGTAAGTAAAACAACTTGCATAAGCTCTGCTTTTTCATTAGCCTCTCAAGTCATGTTGTCTCATATTATTTGACACTTTTGAACAAACACCAATCTTATCTCCTTTTTTTTCTTAACAAATAAGATCTCATTCTAAAGTATGAACTTTATAAGTTCTTTCACAATAGTTACAATGTCAACTTATATTTCCTTCTCCTTCTTTATTATTTTACAACACAATTACAAAATTTAAAGGGAAGAATCACTTTAACTTTTTCACACATATATTTAGAAGTCAAAGATGTAGCTAAATTATATGTTCCACTTCTAAACTCACTCATTGATTACTATGAATCCATCTATAATTATAATAGAATTAACATTCAATAAAAAAATTACTATACATTTTTTATTTACTATAATATTATAATCTATATTAAAAATTAAAAGCTAAAAAATTCAAAACAAAACATATTTATAATATATATTAGTATTTGTGCAATATAATTATATATTAATATTATAAAAATAAAAACTAAAAAGATAACTTTGACTCACTAAATAAAAAAGAATAGCAAAATGTAAGCATCAAGCAACATAGATAACAGTGAAATCACATGCCAAAATATGTATAAAAAGAGTAAAAAAGTTTGCATGCAAAAACATATATCATCAAAGCAACAAAGTCCACAAGCATAAACGCATATCAAAAGAGCATGAGTCCACAAGGAGAGACACATATAAGAAGAACAACAGAGTTTGCAAGCAAAGCACATAATGATGAATGGAGCATACAAGGATGATTATATTATTATATTTATAATTGAAAAATAAACAAAAAATGGAAATTTGAAAATCAAAGAAAAAATAGAAAAATAGAAAGTTTAATTAATAGAACGCGTGTTTCCATCCATCGTAGGGCTAATTAGTGATCAATTTTAAGCTAGTTTTCTTCAATCCGACTTAACTTATAATAAATTTATCTCATACATTTGCACCATTTTTTGAGTTGGTGGTTAAGGATTATATATAAGTAAGTATAAACAATAATGAGCCTTTCATGCTAAGACCATTTTTTGGATCTACTAGAGAAAAAAAAAACTTATATTCTTTTTTTATATATATATTTTTGCAAACTAAATGCAAAAATAACACTTAAAATTATACATTTACAATGAGAAAAATAAAGCAGACCTAACCCAATCATGTTAAATTGTTAATGCATTATACATATCTTAATCCTATTAATACATCATTATACATGTCATAAAAAAAAATTGGTAGAAATTAAAACCTAAACATAATGATAGGCAAAATCTTATTTTCAAAAATTGTGTCAACACCAAGGACTCATCATTTCAAGAATATCCATTCAATCAATAGGAAATTAAAACTTGTGTTAGCCATCAAGCATCATTGAACCAGATTAATAGAACATAAAAAATCTCATATTAACATCATTGAGTTAAAAGAAAAAAGTAGATTAAAAGCATAGTACAAATTGAAATAAGAAATTAAAACATGTCTCAATCATCAGGAATCATTAAACTAGATAAATATATCACAGTAAATCTCATACCACAATCATTTAATTAGGGGGAAAAAACTTTGTTCAACCATTCCAACATCATTCATTTAGACAAATAGAAAACAAATATCTCAATTCACGATAATTGATTTTAGAAAAACAAAGAACATGACTAAAAGAGTAAAATCTAACTTAAGCCAAAATATTTCTTAGCCATCAAACATTATTGAATCAGAAAAATAGAACATAAGATATCTCATTCCACCACCATCATTGAATTGAAAAAAAAAACAAAAAAAGAAGATTAAATGAGTAGCATCTAACTTAGGAAATAACAACATTTCTTGGTCATTCAACATCAGTGAATCAAAAATATATACTGCAAAACTTCAATCAAAGGAAAAAGAAAAACTATATTATTATAATAATAATATTATATGATAAATTTAGTAATATATTAAAACCTAAAATCGAAAAAAAAAAAAAAGAACATAAGCGAGAGAAAGACCATAAAAAAAAGGTGAAAAAATCCCTTACCTTTCTCTATTCATGTCATCTTGGACCTTAATCTTCATTGTCAATGGCTCAACATAACTAAAACGTGCAAAATAAAAAATAAAAAAAGAATAGTTTTAGACAATCGAAGAGTAAACCATAAACTAAAAATTAGAAATATTAACAAAAACAATATGAAAATAAAACTCTAAAGGACTAACATAACTTACCAATTCTTTGGCTCATTAGCAAAATCTCTAACAAAGGTATGATTTATGTTTTTTTATAGGTAGGAGAACTTAGTAACAAAGAATGGTGTCTAAGATCGAGATATAAGAAGAGGAAAAGAAAGATCAATGTCAATGATGAAACAAAACAAAAGGGCATACCATTGTGATTGTCTCAATGATAAGAAATTTATAGAAAATAAAACAAAAGATAGAGGAAAACACAAAAGCTAAGTGAGACACTGAGAATTGAGAAGGAGAAGAAGGCTAGAAAGGGACAAAAGTTGGTACAGTTGGTGGTTGAAGAAGTGACATAGTGCAAAAGTTCAGGGTAGAAACAATGAAAGACAATGAGTGACTTGCGAGACATAAAGACAGAAAAGGAAGACATGTCTTCTAAGAGAAGCAACACTTTGCAAAAAGGTGCAAAGATGGTATAGGGTAGGGACTAGGGAAGGAGATTAGAGTTAAGTTTTCAAGGGTTAAAAAAATTGTGTTTTATATAACCTATTTGGTCAAGTTCAAGTACTGGTGGCTTGTAATTTTTAAACTCAAGATCAATCATAACAACCCAAATGAAATCATTCTCATTTACTGTAAAAATTGGAACCATTACTCACCTGCCCAATTGATCAATTAGACCTTCAGATCCAACGGTTTTGGTTGAGTTCAGTTTCCAAGCGCAAGCTTAATCCATCGCACTCTCTTATACTTGAAACCAATATCGATTTTCTTAATAGGTACGGTATGTATTCTTGCGTATCTACATTTAATACATATTATTAAATTATATCATATATCATTTCTAATAAGAGAACAACTAATAAGATTATTAAAATTTTCCATTAGCAATGTATTATTGGTTTGTTTAGTTGTCTATCTTTCATGATGAATTTGCTTTCATTCATCATCTTTTGATTCATTATAAATAATATGATGAACTTCACTTTGTTTCTTTTATGGATAATCTTCTCTAAAGAAAGATGAAGAACATGAAAAAAAAAAAAAACTCTTAAAATTAGTGACTTATTTAAGTTTGTCACATTGTAGAATATTTTTTCACACACTACTAAATACTCATTCTAGAAATTAAGCTCTAATATTAATAAAAAATATATAAGAACACAAAAAAAGTCTAAATTGTGTGTGAGATATATAAGTTGTACAACAATGAATAAAATTGCAAAAGTAATTATATAATGTAACATATGATTTTATAGATAACTAAAAAATTGCACCATTTCAAACAAAATAATTTTATATTTTTTAAATCATAAAAAATATTTTCTATTTATTATAATTAATCTTGATAAACCATAAAAAAATATTAATATTTTTTAGTTATGTTTAATATTTTATAAGTTTCAATATTTGTGATAAAAGCTATTTTCAAAAATAAAAAATTTATATATGGCCGAATAATTTATCAAAACTATTTTTATTAAATTAGTGAAATGAATGTCTTATGTCTCTCCGTTATAAACATGTGGTGGCATGACTTTTGTTTTTACTTAACTCACTGTGACACGACATCTTCATGTGAATAATTTAAAAAAGAAAGGGAAGTATCAACCTATCAAATTTTAGAATCCATGACTATAATAAACAATTATTTAAGACATCCTAAGATTGCTTCATTTAGTCTCAAGAAGAAGATTACCAAAATCCCCGTGTTAAAATAAAAGAACCAATGTATAAGCCAATGTATAAACCATTGCCATGTACGATACGCTAATAAATCTTCAACATTGTTACCATTAAAAGTACATTTAACCTTAAAAAATGAATACTATTAAATTATATTATTTTAGTGAATTGTCAGAAAATTGAAATGTCATTGTTGTTGGATTAGCGGGTGCAGTCAGGAGGGTGAGTTGGATGTTTCAAATAGTAAATACAATTATTTATTATTTCTTTCATTTTCTGTAGCCCCACGCTTCTACTGCTAATGCTAATTCTATGCTATCAATATCATAAACGCCACTCCCATCCTGCCACTCCATTCGTTTCCTTTATTTATTTATTTTTTTTATATTAAGGATATGTTTCAAAACTTCATTTTATTAACATAAGTCTTACAATTCAGTTTAACTTTCAAAAATAGTAATTTATTTATTTTAAAAATTTATTATATTTTTAATTAATAAATATTATTGTTAATAAAAAGTAATAATTAATGTTAATATCTTTTAAGAAAATTAATTGAAATATACTGATTCTCTTATATTGATTACTCTAAAACTTGTTTGTAATGTAATTTTATTTTTTCAAAATTTTAAAATAATTTATATTGTGTTTAAAATTGATGTTTCTAAGGAAGATAAGAGAATTTTAAATTTTCATTTTGATTTTTTTCCGTAAAGTTTTTAATCGTGTTTAGTATGTTTAAGGACATTAATAATTTCCATTTATATACACTTAAAATTTAAATTCATCATTAAATTAATTAATTTTGTAATAATTAAAATTCTGGTCTGCGCTCTACGATTTAAACGCCCTTTGGAATTATCACCTGCTTTATAAACTCCCTAAACTCATTTCTTTTATCTCACTCCTTCTCTTCCCTATATTCTCTCAATAGAAAAGAAAAGAACGGAAAAGAAAAAGAAAAGAGAGAGTGTAGGTAAAGAGAGGACATTCACACAGCAAAAGCAACAACAGCACCAGAAACGGTTGGTTCACAGATCTGGGAGAAGAAGATGGGTCACAACCAGAACCAGAGATCGCTGATCTACGCCTTCGTTTCTCGTGGAACTGTGATTCTCGCTGAGTACACTGAATTCAGCGGCAACTTCAATTCCATCGCGTTTCAGTGCCTTCAGAAGCTTCCAGCTTCCAACAACAAATTCACTTACAACTGTGACGGCCACACCTTCAATTACCTCGTCGACAATGGCTTCAGTTCGTATTCTTCGCCCGATCTAAGCAAAATCTATTAAGGATTGATTGTTTAACTTGTGGAACGGAGATTTACACGTTTTTCAATGTAGAAAACCACGGTTAGAACTCAGTTTTTCCAAAGCGAAAAATAAATTGCTTTCCGTGAGCAAAACAGGCTCGTGAACGTGCTACTTTAACGCCGTTATAACGGTTTATATGAATGAAATTCGTGTTTTTACGATTTTTCATTAGATGCTAATTTTGGCTGTTTTGGAGTGTTGGGAAATGAATGTGTCGCTCACGCTCGTGTTTTGGATGTTATGTTTGTAGCGTATTGTGTTGTTGCGGATGAATCGGTTGGAAGACAGGTGCCTGTGGCTTTTCTAGAGCGTGTGAAGGATGATTTTGTTGCCAAATATGGCGGTGGAAAGGCTGCTACAGCTGCTACTAACAGCCTCAATAAGGAATTTGGGTATTGGCTTTGTGTTTGTTATATGAGCTTAATGGTGGAGGGTTTGTTGTGATTTGTGTTTTTTTAAGGGGAGATCATGTTGTGTACTCTGTTTTTTACTTGCTGTAGACCAAAACTGAAGGAACACATGCAGTACTGTATTGAGCACCCTGAAGAGATAAGCAAGCTTGCGAAGGTGAAAGCTCAGGTTTCTGAAGTTAAAGGTGTCATGATGGAGAACATTGAAAAGGTAAGTGGGCACATTACTTATTTGGTTTTACTTAAGAGGATGGTACTGCATAAATTGAATAGATCAAGTTGCTTGTTATTGAAAATCACAAGAATCGTTGTCTATAAAAGAAAGTATGATGGTGGTTGTGTCTAAAATTTTTTATACTGACAAAGACAACAGAACTGAAACTGGATCTTTGAGAAAACGACAAAATGTAAAACATGTAAATACTTAATCCTTGTTCATGAGACCATTAATTAGTCTGGCCAGTATTTTATCAAATTCAGATTTGTACTCATGCTGTATTTATACACAGGAGTCAGTAATTGTTGTTAGAATTGCTTCTTGCATGGTTAGAATGGCACGATTCAGTATGATTCAACAAAACTAGTAATTCATATCACGTGATGAATCTTAGACAACTTTGAATCATCAGATACATGTGTGAATCATGACAAGTCTCACAATTCAGTAATTTGTTCTTTTTTCCTTTTAGTGCATTTCTTTTTTCACCGAATTTCATAAAAAAAATTTATAAGCTAAATTGTTTTATAAAAAGAAGTGCTACCAAACATATCTTAATTTGATTATGTTTTCATTCTTATGAAACAGTAACTTTACATAGGGGTTTTTGTGGAATAGACTGGACTAGATCAATTTTGAAGAGAAAAACTACACAGCCCAATCTCAAATTTGTTTTTGTTTTTACCATCCATTGGATTTTATCCTAAAACCAAAACTGATAGGATCCAATTTCACACGTGTTTGATTAGATTGATTCTTAGGTTTTTTTTTTTTTTTGGTTAGAGGACAAAAACCAAATCATATTTGATCTGTTTTACTCATTCTTTAAAAAAATTATTTTTTAATATAAAATTTGAAATTTATTTAATAAAAAATTGAGACAAAGATCAAATTTTAAATTCATGTCAAACTATTAAACAAATAAGTATCTTAAAATAATAAGATGCAATTAAACGATAAGACCATAGACATAAAGAAAAAAAAAAACTAGTAATTTCATATATATATACATGTGTGTGCGCGGGGGGGGGGGATGGAGTTACTTAGGAGTAAGTGAGTAACTCTAACAAGAGTAATAACTCTTTATAAACTTTGAATTTCATCAATCTAACCATTGCATAAAGTGATACAGTCATGTTTATAATGTGTATCAGATTTTAAATAAATCAAACATTTGTAAATATGTAATTTTATAATCATCATTTACTTATTTTTTAAAAATGTTAGACGTTAAAATAAAATTATCCAATGAACTGATACTTAATTTTTTATTTATATGTATTTTGTATACCTAATCTATTCAAGAATCAAGAACTTTTAATTGAAGGGATGGATCATGGAATTCAATACTTGTAGAGAGTTATTACGTGGAGTAATTCTTATGAGTTACTATTGTAACATAATCTCCTCTTATGTATGTGTGTGTTTTATATGCTAATTTTGTAAAGAAAATCATGAATATGCATATTAGTTCAGTTTGGAATGGATCAGATTTGTTTTTAAAATTGAATGTGATCTGATCCAATAAAACAATTCAGTTTTTTGGGTTTTGGGTATTTTTATTTTGGTTTACATTGAATTGAGTCAATTTATGAATACCCCTAATGCTCTCAGTCACTCACTCACTTTATGCATGCTGTTTTGCTGTTCCATTGTTTTGTTTTTGTTCTTTTCAAACAAAGGCTTCAAACAGCCATTCTCTTGCTTTGTACATGCCTTATTTGGCTGTATAATTGCTCTGTTTTACTTCTTTTGAAATAAGGCTTCAGGCATTCAATTTAGGTGGTCTCAAAGGAAAAGAAGAAACAGAAGGAGGATGAAATGCTATTATTTTTGGATATATTACGCATCAAATGTAACTATCCTTCAATGTCCACTATGAATGTGGAGTAGTTTGCTTAGGAATTAGGATGAGCAACCATTTAGAACTATGCTAAGAATTAGGACTTACAGTTTCAGTTAGTTGCTTATGTTATGTTTGATTAGCTTCTCTAAAAGTTGATAGTGAGACTTAATTATGAGTAATGATTTCTTTTTTGAGATTTATGGTTAAATGTACAATGAGCGCTGCACAACATTTAATATATTCCAAACTATTTATCATTGTCTTTGGATCTTACAATTTAATATGGCTTGCTATTCAAAAGTTTGAGTTGTGATTTGCTTTTAAAGTTCTAAAGTACATTTGACCTACTTACAATTGTTACATTTGCTTCTAAACAGAGTTGTGAATCTTACAATTGCTTTGAATATGAATCTTACAATTGTTACATTTTGGACTTGACGTGATTAATGAAATATGTGACTGTAGTTGTGCCAGAAATTGACATGATCCATAGCTGTCATGGCTTTTGGTTTTAGTTCTTGTTAAAATTTTATTTGGTTTTAGTCCTTATATTTAACAAAAAAGCATGTGACTTTAGTTCCTCATTAAGGACTAAAACCACATATCTTTTTGTAATTTTTAGGGACTAGAACCGAATAAAATTTTTATAAGAACTAAAATCAAATGACATGATATTTCTAGGGACTAAATTGTTATTTAAGCCATTGTTTTACTTGAATTTAAAATCCTCAGTATAGCAGTCATCTTGCTATCCCACTATAGCAGTTTTGGGGTGGCCACTCTGCGCTATTATCTGGGACAGATAACTGTGATGTGATTGTGAGCTTTAATTCAATTAGACGTGCAATGTTCTTTTCACCACTAAAGATTAACAAACTGCAGATAAATGAGGGTTCATATGTGTAACTGTAAACTTTTATTGAATTTAAGGAGAAAGATAAATGGGGTTTTAAATTGATATCCAAATAGTTGGCCACCCAACCTGCAAAAAGGATGGTTCATGAAGACGGCAGAAAGTTTGCAACCCAGGTTTCAATTTCCCACATCTGTTGTTTGTTGTCTAGGTTTTGTCAGTATTTGAGTTGAATTGATTTTTTTTATCCGAAACCATTTCAAAGAATCAAAAAGCTTTCATTGCAGCAAGCAGATCTAAGATTGTTGTTTTAATAGCAAATGAAATGGTGGATGGTATTATAGAAGGAATGAATATGTATCTTTGTTGTGGACTTGGATTTTGATGAGGCTTATGATCAAGTGAGTATGCTTTTCATAGATGAGGTTTCTCGGCTTGAAGCACTTTTGATTCTAGAGTGAGAAAGTGAATCCAGATGTCTCTCCATTGATTTTTTTCTTCATGGCTTGCTTTTATGGACAACAAGAAGTTAGGCAAGCGACCCTCTATCTGTTTGTTCAAGTGTTGTTGGTAGGGACCACTAATTTTTTAGTTCAGTTAAGATAATGGTCGCTTGCCTCCAGTTTACTGCTGATACTATTGTCCTCTTCGAATTGACACTTCTGCAATTTGTTTTCCTATCCTAAGTTCTTTGATGGTATAACTTTCTGAACATGAATGACAAAGTATACTGCCTTCTTGATTGGCATCTAAATCATGCGCCTCCAATGTTTTGTTTTTACCTGAAAAGGAATAGAGGTAAGAAAGGAAGGCACAGGAAGGGAATTGTGTTTGGAGGGCAAAAGGAAGGAGTTAACAGAATGGACAGGTGTCATCTGGACATTAAAAAGGGGATTTGAGAAGCAGGTGAAAGGGAAAATATTAAGTAGGGAATATGGGAAAGCGTAGGCCTAGGGAGCAGGGGCAGACTGTGGCATTATACACTTCTGAGTTTCTTTGTTTCCATTACATTTTCTACTTTTTCTTTGTTTTGGTGGTTGTAATTAAAGCACTGTTCTATATGCGTTCTTCCTTCCTATAATACCAGTGAGGATACCGGTTCCTATTTCCTAACACTTCTAATGACTTCTCTTGTATGGAATGTATGTCATCTTTCTTGTAGGGAACTTTTGAATTCACAATTTTAAACTAATTCTGTTTCCCATAATAGTCAGTGGTACTTCATTGTACTTGGGTATGATATTTCAAAGCCATATAAATAATAAGCCAAAATTCATTTATAGCAGTTAATTGTTCTAAACTTCTTCAACTACCAAATGTTTATTCCTCTGCATTCGGCATTCTGAAAGATGATTGAAATTTTGTGCATTTTTATGATATACAAATGAATGAGTTTCTATGTCTTTTTTATGCAATAACAATATACTTCAGACGGTCACACCATAAATGTGCAGCTGAGCTCACACCAGTTATACACATAAGGAGAAAAAGATGTAGTATACATTAATCGGATTGAGATGTCTAATGCGTAAGGACATCTAGTTAGATTATATTGACATGTTCATAATTTAATGTAGGTGCTGGACAGGGGAGAAAAGATAGAGCTTCTGGTTGACAAGACTGAGAATCTTCATCACCAGGTTAGTAGTATGTACTATATGTGCATTGTCTGTTATTGTATATTTGGAAGGTCTTGAAGTTAGGATAAAAGATATTATTCTATGCTTCAGGCCGGATCATTAGTAAGTATGTTCTTGTTCTTTAGGCTTTTGATTTTTGGTTTTCTAGGATGAACTACTACTGTTTGCTATTTAGTTTCTGAAGCATGTCTCTTGATGTTTGATGCCATACTGAGTCTCCTGATAATATCTTCCCACACCTCTCCACATCACAAGAGGAAAAAAGAAAAAAAGGTGGAGGTTGAGGTTGAGGGGGAATAAAAGAAATATTAGTTGTTTTTTCCAAAGCAAACTGTTTCACTTGCTGCTTACTGTTTGCAATTTTGAGGCAGGCACAAGACTTCAGGAATTCGGGGACCAAAATCCGTAGAAAAATGTGGCTGCAAAACATGAAGATAAAGCTGATTGTATTGGCAATTTTGATAGCCCTGATTCTCATAATTGTCCTCTCTGTCTGCCGTGGGTTCAATTGTGGAAAATAAGCACCATTTAACGAGTCATTTTACCTTGTTATTTCGACCTTCTTGTGATTATATATGAGGAAAGATATCGAATGGATGACATGATTTTGTATGTAGTAAAAATATCAGATCCCGTATACTGTTCACTTTTAAGATTTTACAGTATGATACAAGAATGCTTTTGAAAATTTAAATTGGTTGTCTATTGTAGTTTGATTTTCCTTCATTTGACTCATCTTGTCATCATTCTTGCAATTAAGTTCGTTGTTGTCATCTTTTGTTTGAATTTTCACAGCATTTCATTGTAGGCTCAAGTATTTTTCAACTTGACTTTGTATTTCATAAAATCCATTTCTATTTGTGTATGAAATGTAAAATGATATTATGAATTCCACGAGAAAGGATTCGACCAATTTAGTACTCGAATAAATGAGAAGGAACGTTCATCTAGTGATGTTTCTGGTCCAAGTTCCAGAACGGTGAAGAAAGGCAATAAGCGGAACTTTAAGATGTTATCTCCCTTTTATATTATACTATGGTGATCCATGTTAGCATGTTTGACGAGATTGATTACTTAGAAATATTTTTCTTAATTCTCTAGAGAAACGGCCAACAACTCTGGATGTAGGATATTATCGCATTGAGATAAAAAAAAACGGTTGACATAAATATTTGATTCAATATTTATTTGATTTCAGTTGTTATGTTTCGGCTAATAATTATACAAATGTCATCTTATTCTTATTTAGTTGTGTCTTCAATAATTTATAAGAATTATTTTGGACATAAAAAGGAGTTTTACTGTTTTATTTTCATTGAGATATTGAAGAATGTAACCAATTAACCAGTTTCTCATTTAGATTTTGGAAAGTTTGAAACTTAAGTGATGAGCAATTCTACCAGTGTACCAGAGAAGCAATAAGCAAAGCATTGTCTATGTTCGAGTTATATTGGTTTAAGTAATAAGCTTAGTCCACCGTGATTAGTATTTTGTTCACAACTTCACACGACCCTATCAAAGCATAATCAAAGTTCCTAGAGCTAATTCTACTAGACTTAATTAGGTTCATATAGTTTAAAAGAATTACTAACCAAGTTTCTGTTCAGAGAATTGCTCCTGTAGTGTTTTTATTATTATTAGCGACTTGCCCTTGACATTTTAATAAAAACTAATTTTATTCTATTTTATATTTTTTCCTTATACTATAAATGAATAATATTTAATTTCTTTCTGTTGTTTTTTTTTTTTTTTTTTTTGTCTTTCTTCTATTTTTTTAATTTATAAGTTATTATAAACAACATTTATATTCTGAAGAAAAGATGCAAAGGTTTTTAAAAAGCACTTTGGCAAAAACATAACAGAATCTGAACTAATAAGAGACGATTTTGCTGAATGATGTGCTTCTGTATTTGCATTTCTCTTTACATGAAATACTAAGCAGGACAGAAAAAATTGAGTGTCTTGCAGTCCTATCCAATTGTATGGAAATAAGATGAGCATTGAGCTGTTGTAGTCCAAGACTTGTGAAGGAAGAGGCTATCCGTTTCTAAAATCATATTTTGGATTCAAAGTGACGTCGTTTCCATAGCACAACGTAAGGGTATGGCCTCTGCAATTAGCACTTGATTAAAGGGGCCTAAGAAATCATTACTCACAGTCATCCAATCAGTCTCTGAAGATCACACTCCTCTCTTGTTGACCGTGGCATCACAATTGACCTTTCTAGTTCGTTCTAGTTAGTTCAAATATTCTTTTAACTCACATCGTATCTTCCGAAGAGATTATGAAAATTTAAACATTATGTTATTTTGTTTTTGTTTTAGAAATTATTACTATAAAGCACGTTAATTTTCCTCAAATATATGACCTTATTACATCTTAATTTATTACAATTAATTCTTTAATTACTTAATTTAAAGCTTTTGTAATATTATTTTTACATGGATCATTACTAATGGGTATGTTTCTCTTTCATTATAAAAAGGATGACAATAAAAGCATTGAGACATATTTTTTTTCTTTTACATTAGTCTTCTTCCATGCAGGCATTTTTTCCTCCTTTCTTTCTTGAGCAACTGGTTGTGAAGCTCCAACAAAGTCAAGTATTGAGTTATAGCAAAGAATCCCTAATATTTGCTTTTATTGCAATCACAATTATCACAACACAACTCAAAAGGTCCATATTTATTCAACCCTTCAATTTTGATAAACGCTCATTCTTTTTAGTATTTTTGGGCTAGCCCATTAAATAGGCCCATTTTGCTAACTCTATAGATAATAGAGAAATGAACGTTTTTATTAGCAAGTATATTTGTACAATAAAAAGTATTGATAATACATATTTTAATATATTATTTAAATACTTTTAATTAATAGTTAAAAATTATAAAAATACGGGTAACAATTTTTTTTACTAGATAATAATTATATTTTTTTATTTTTATATAATTGTGAGTTATCAAAATTGCTACTATGCATGCTTCAATAACTTTATCAACAATTTATACATACCAAATAGATATAAGAACTTATTTTCTAAATGAAGGTCGGCACGAAGAAGTATACACGAACCAATAAAAAAGCTTCATAGTACTTAGGACAAAAACACAAGGTGTGCAAACCTAAGAAATTTTTGAATGATTTAAATAAACTCCTAAAAAACTATGGTTTGTGGCTAAATAATTCAAATTCATGCATGTAAGCAAAAGTGACAAATCCTTATTGTGTTATCACGTGTTAGAATGTTAGATATACTTCCTTACACAGGTAGATGACACCGCATGCCCTGCCTGAAAATATTTACTAAAGCACCAAAGTAAAGCTTTCCTTTTCTTTTCTTGTCTTTTATCTAACAAATATCTTAAAATAAAATAATAATTAAAAACAATTTTGTAAACCTCTAATTTTTAACACAGAAAAATAATAAAGCTTTATTTTAAACAGACATTTATTGTACTTTTGATGTTTATATAATAAATGCTTAATTCTTTAATGAAATAATTTTACCTTTAAATATTTAAATTTAATATAACCAGCATTTTTCTTAAAAAAGAAATAACGATTTGCAAGTTCCTTGGCAGGAATAACTTTTTAAATGGTAATTGATTGTAGGTGCTCCCTGTTTTCTAGGGCATAATAGGTGGGCAAATTTCAATGACTGTCAAGAAAAATACTAATAACATATTTTTTTAATACATTTTTATTATTAATTTAAATTTATTAAAAATTATAAAATCAAATAAATCTCACTCTAAATTTAATAAAATTTACCTATAATTTGATAAATTTTAACTATTAAATAAAAATATGTTGTTTTTTTTTTCAGCGTAAAGAAGACTGTTAAAAGAATATCTTACAAACACTACTGAATAAACAAATTACATGGCCTGTGGAAGAGTTTTGAAGCATTGGATCAAAACTGCTCAACCTGAAATTATTATACTTTTGAAGCGAATTGGAATTGGTTTATGCCAGTAGTGAATGCATAATCTACTTTCTTAAATTACCAAAATTTATGATATTAAGTAAATCTATTGATTTATATAAATAACTTTAAACTGGGCAGGGCTACTATATATCCAAATGAGAGTTTACTACCCAAAAAATAAAAATACTATACTATGCACATCCATAACAGTGAGAGGAACATAGGCAATAAAAAGGCATTGGATGCAGTGTTGCAAGAGCTACTTTTGAGTGATGCATCTGTGTCAGGCTTTCTCACCTTCTGCCCAGCCCCATCATCTTCATATGGATACCTACATGTCCCATAACCTGCCACACCAGCCCATAATAATAATAATACAATTAATAATTATCAGTGTCCATTTAAAAATAAATAAATTATTTAAAATATAATTTTATTATATTTTCTTAATAATATTCTTTTTATCTGTAAAATATTTAATAAATAAAAATATATTTATTATCTTAAAATATAAATATAAGTAAAAATAATATTTTTTAATCATTTTAACACATTCTGATAGAATTTTTATTATTTTTTTACATTTCAATTCCTTGATAATTTGTTTAATTAATAACATCCATTCTTAAATTTATTTTTAAACAAATTATATTTTATTAAAAAATAACATTTATTACATTTTTATATTTTCAGTATAACAAATATTTTTTTATAAAATTTTATTATTTTTAAATGCTTAAATTTTTTTTAAAAAAAAAATTCAAATCTTAAAAGTTAACTTTAGATAATTAAAAGCAAAATATGTCCTCTTGATAAAAATAAAAAAAAGGTTATATTTTGAACTACTTAAAATGAATTGATTGAAAATGATTTAATAAGTAACTTACTAGGGTCAGTGGTACTGATGAGTCCAGTGTGGTTGAAATCACAGTCGGAAGGGTGGCGACCAGATGCCTGGTAATATGCGTTCATGGCATAGGAGGCATGGGCCCTAACAGTATTGGGCTGAAAGCAAGGCCCACCATCCTTAATGGGCCCACAATCTACCCCACTACTGCAAACGTAGTCAATATTGGCCTGCAATACTGCATCAGTTGTAGCCGGTTTCGGCACGCACCACTTCTTTGAAGATGTTGATTCACCTGACCCTGACGCTTCCGGTTCTGGTGCACTGCTTTCAGATGTGGGACCCTGCGCCTGCATTTACATAACTTCTTATTGTTTTTTTATCAACTTATAATAAGAATAAACTGTCACATAATTTTCATTCCATTGCCCTAATCTAATTACCCACACTTCACAATAAATAAATAATATTACTATAGTTTTTATTTATCTGTTCCAAACAATTTATAAATAAAAATATTAAGATTAACTGCTAAATTTGTTAGTTTATCTTTTCTTAATATTTTAGTTTATAATTTCCTATAAATATTAAAATGTAAAATAGAGAAGAAATTTCAAGCAGAACCGGGTAAGGTCAAAGAATACAGAACACAAACATTAAACTTGAACCGTAATTAATTTCTATTTTCTTAAATATCATAAATGACATAATAAATGCAATTAGGTTAAGTTGGATAACTGCTTGATGACATTTAATTTAATTTTCCTTTATAAAATTTCCCTAAACATTGAGTTGAAATAAAAAATGCTATCATCTTAATTAAATTAACTTTAAAGAAGTTTACCAATAAAAGGATTTAAAAGGTTAAGTTAAAAGGTGACAAACTACTAAATAAAATCCTAATAATTAATAAGCCTTGCAACAAGCCAACCAACGACCACTAATGGGTAGAAAGGATAAAATTTAAATATAATATCATAAATTTGAGTATTTTTCTTATAAATTTTCTAATAAACATTTTAAAAATATTAATGAATGAATCTCTCTCTATATATAATAAAATTATAATAAAAACATATAGATAATTTTTTATTAAAAAATTATTTTTAATTTTTTTAAAACATTTGTTAGTATATTTTATTTTTAATTGAAATTCAAAATTTACTTTGATAAGTATTGATAATTAAGATGAAATTTAAATTTTAATTAAAGGCAGATATTAATTAAGGTTTCTAAAGTATTTGTTAATAAATTAAAAAATTATAAAAAATATTATCAACACGTATCTATTATATCTATCATAATTCATATACACGTAACATGCAATATTTTACTAAAAATGATTAACTCTTTGACTAATTTAAAAACACTAATAAATAAGCTCTTAATAAAAAAATTAAACATGATAAAATGATAATCAATTTTTTTAACATATATAACATAGCACAAAATAAAAAAAAATTATATATCATAATTTTTTATTAAAAATCACAAAATTTAATATAATTAAATATATTACAATTTTTAAATAAATTTTGTTATTATGCATATATATGTTGTACAACTTTAAAAAAATTTATTATTATTATAGTATTAATATATTTAATTATATTAAATTTTGTAATTTTTATTAAAAATTATATATAACTCTTTATTCTACATAATATTGTATATATTAAAAATATATATTTATAATATTACAATATTATAACAGAAAATAATATAAAATGATTATAATAAAAAGCATCATTATTCATATAAATTCATTAATTTCAATCTTTAATATGGCATTATGACGGTAGAAACTAACATAGGCGGTGGATACAAATTCCACCCCATCAATGTTTTGTCCCGGGCAGGGTATACTTAGAAGTTACTACAACCATGAACCAACAAAACATGTCAGATACTACTTTGTCACAATGTCACTTAAAAGTCTAAAACAGAAGCCATACATTAAATGAAAAGCTGGCAATTCAGAGGACAAAAATGCACCAAGATGCACACAAGAATAATTTCTCATTTTCTATTGACCAAAAATAAAAATAAAAATAACAAAAGGAAATAAGAATGTACCTGTTGGGCTGTGAAAATGCCCACATCATAAACAGGGATAAGATCAGGTTTAAACAATCCGTAATTCCTCTCCGAAACGGTGGGCTTCAAGTTCTCATTGAACAACGAGAACACGTAAGTCTCAAAGGTTCTATTACCCATCAAAGGTGTTCCTTTTCCCGAGTTAACGTGCCTAATAAGATTTCCATTATACAACTCTGCATTCTCTATGCTAACACCTGGTTGGTTCGGTTCACCCGCAGAGGGCCAACCCGTTTCCGCTACCACAAGTTCCACGTCATCATACCCCAACTTCTTCATCGCGGAGAAAACCGCGTCCATTTGAGCATCAAACATGTTCGTGTAGTTCACCCCAGTGACTGAGTCAAAAACGCCGCCGTTTGGTTTAAAAAGCGCGTAGTCCAGGCTCTCAGGTTGGGTAGGTGAAAACCCAAAGAATGGGTACGGATTAACCATGAAAGGGGATTTTGTTTGGCGGTGAAACTCGAGAATGGGCACGAAAATGGCGTGGTCATAGCCGCGCCGGAAAGCACCGGCGCTAGGAGGCTCCGACGAGGATAAGATTCCCAAAGAGTGAGGGGTGGAGACTTGAATGTGAGAGAGGTTGGCCATGGTTAGTGCTTGGTGGAGGGATTTCATGGTTGGAAGAATGTGAGCTATTAAGGTTTTGTCGGAGGTGGCAACTACTTCGTTTCCTACGGCGATGCGGATAACAGCAGTTTGAGGGTGGAAAGGGAGGATGTTGGTGGAGACCCATGCTTGTGCTGCAGGCAGCTTTGAGAGGGAAGGGATGTCGCCGTTTCCTACTGTTATGGTGATAGAGATTCCTGTGTTGGCGAACGCCCCAAGTATGTCAGGATTTGCGTCGAAGATTTTGACGCGGTCAATTCTGGTGTGAGATTTGAGGAAGGACGCCACTGTTGATGGTGGTGGGAGGTTGTCCGCGACGGTGCCGTAGTTGACGCCGATGTTGTTGGTGGTGGCAGCCATGGAGTGGGGGAAGATGAAGTGGCATGATACGAAAAGGAGGAAGAGGGGAAGTGGTTCAGCCATGGTTTTAGAGAGAGAATTAGTGCTTATGAGGGTAGGAAAGTTTAGTAGAAGTGGGTGTTTGTGATTCTTCATTGGATAAATTATCAAGCATGACATTTGGTGGGGCCCATCTTAAGGGTCAAAGTCAACATCATTACAAGGTTTTCTTTCAGTTTCAGGTATAACATAGAAAAACGGTTAACCTCCTCTTGCCAAGAAATTAAGCCATTAATAATAGGATACTGTAAAGGTAAGTTTTTAAGATTGAAAAACATTTTTTTTTATTCAAGGGGCAGATCACAATAAATTTTATTAAAATAAAAATTATTACACTACATATTTTAAATTATATTAAATAATTTATTTTTTTAATAAAAGTGTATTACCATTGAGTATTATATATATATATATATATATATATATATATATAATATAATATAATAATATCTTTAAGTAACGTATTATAAAATATTATTTTATATGAGATTTTTTACTTCTATATTTTTAATATAGTAGTTTATTTATTTTAATACATTTAAATTATAAATTTAGTTTTTATTTTAAAATATTTTTTAATTTGATTTCTACATAAAAAATATTGTAATTTAATTTTTATATAAATAAATATTTTTAAATTAAACATTGTTGTTAAAAACATATAGATGGTATTAGATGAAAAAGATTGAAATGCAAAAAATAAATTATTTTAGAATTAAAATATAAATATTAATTATAAAGATGAAACGTATATTTTTATAAATAATAACAAAATAAATTACAATTTATTTTAAAAATAAGGTGTTAAATGAAAAATTTATAAAATTTAAAGAGAGTAAAAATTTATATCTTTAAGCAAATTTAAATACAAAATTAAAAATATTCAACTCTATGAATTTAAATTAATACTTTTTTATCTTCTATCTTAAATCTAAGTCAGAAAATAAATTTTTAATATTAATATTTTTATTATATATCAATTTTTAAAAATATTTTTTAAAAATTTAAAACATTATTATCTATAAAATATAAAATCACACTAGATATAAATTTATTTGAAGATATAATTTCAAGTTTTTAAAATTTTTATATTTGGTAAGTTTTTTTTAAACAAGTCCACAATTTTTGGTTTGAAACACGTTTGTTGTTTACAATTAATATGTATTTATAAATTAGTGCTTATAGTTAATATTTATCTTTTAATTTTTGAGTTTTTGTTTTATTTTGGTCTTTTTTATTTAACAAAAAAATATATTTTTAATAATGACTAATCCAAAAATATTAACTCATGTAAGAATTAAAATGTAATTTTTTACATACAAAGACTAAAATAAAAAAGTGTATTAAAATGGAGACTAAATTTATAATTTAATCTCTTAATAAATATTTATTTATTTCAATATTATTCTACGATTTTTCATAATAAAATAAAATTGAATTTTTTATTTTTTTATCATATATAAAACTCAAATTCAAAATATTGATTAAAGCTAATATGCTTTAATTAAGTACTTATTAATATAATTTTTAATAAATAATTTGTTATCTTTCATTCTTTAAGTTATATATATATATATATATATATATATATATATATATATATATATATATATATATATACGTGGGATGTTAAATTTAAATAAATATTTATATTATTTTATAATTTTTTTTAATAAAATATGAGATTAATTAATTTAAATATTTTTATTAAATAAATAAATAAAATTTATTAAATTTTATATGAAAAAGTATTTATATCTAATTAGAATAACATTCTTTTAACGTTGAAACATATTAGTTTGTAAATTATATTATAAATAAATTAAAACAAGAGGATAAAAAATTACAAAAAAATTATACTAAAATTTAAATCATTGAACATTTAGATTATTTAATATATAAACATATTAGTATCTAAATTATAAAAAATATTTATATGAAAAATATGTAAACTTCACATGTAAATATTAATGCTGAAATTATAAATAATATATATTTCATTTCAACTCTTTAAAAACTGAAGAGCTAAAATTAATGTTACAAAGAATAATAATAAATCATGAACTTAAGCCCCGAACGTTCAGAGGATGAACAATAAAAGATATTGATAATGAAATATACCAATTAGATAATACTTTTAATATAAGTTATGAAGAATAAAAAGATTTATGTTTAGGACTAGGACTATGCAACTGTAAAATAAATATGTTGATCTCAAATTAAATAAGAGTCTTAATATCTATTATAGATAAGTTAAAAGATTTTTTTTTTAAAGACCAAATTTATTAGTAAACTCAATGAACTGATGCAAAAAATAGAATAGATTACTCAATAAATCTAACCAATTGAAATGAAAGGGATATTTTTTAGGTTTAAACGAAAACAAAATCAAACAAAAATAAACGACATGCAAAATGAAATTAAGTGGTTGAAACAAAAAGTTATAGAATTAAAACAAAATTAGCTAACTTTAGAATACAAACTAATGACACTAGAAGGAAAATAACTAATAAAACACCAGAAGAAAAAGAGTCAAAAAATTTTAAAATGCAATTACTAAATTTAATTACTACTCATAAATGACTATGTGAAGTAGTTTTGGTAACAGAAAAAAAAAATTCAAGTTTGTTATACTAATAGATTCAAGTGTAGATATAAACTACACACAAGAAAGGTTAATACTCATAAAATATTTTAAGAAAACTAAAGAAAGAGTAACTAGTACTAAATTACTAATGAAAGTAAAATGATGGTTAATAATAAATTATCTAATACAAAAATTTATAAAAACAAGATATGTTTACAACGTCTTTTGTAATAATAAAAAATATAAAAAATCAAATAATTTTAGAAACCTTGATTTTAACCTTACTATACTCTTTCCAGATTAGTAATATAGGTTACTACACAAATAGTTCCAGAAAAAATAATTATCTTTGAGTTCTTAAAAGTCCCTAAAATAAAGGAACTCAATTTGTAACAGGAATTTTCTATATAAGAGATAAGTATGAAAACAAATAAAATTCCTTCGTAAGGAAATTGAACATAAAAGAATACAACAATTAGAGTCACCAAAAATTAAAAAAAATAAAATTAAACAAGAATTGAAAAAAAAATTGTAAAACAAATTGTGTGGCCTTCTATTATAGAAATCAACATGAAATAAGCCTTCCTTATAAGGAAAATTTTAATAAAAAAGATATTCCAATGAAAGCAAAGCCAATGCAAATAAATAAAGAATAAATTAAGTTCTTTAAGCAAGAATTTCTAAATAAGAGATTAATTAGACTATCAAAATCAACTTAGAGTTGTAAGAGTTTTATATTAACAAAGCCTCAGAGCAAGAAAGGGGAGCTCCTAGATTAGTGATAAATTATAAACCACTAAACAAAATATTAAAATGGATTAGATATTCTTTACCAAATAAACAAGATTTAATTAAAACACTGACAAATCCAATATTATCAAGGATGATGGCAGCATTATCTTCAGCATGACCTGAAAAAGAGTTTAACAAAATTTTACATCCTCTCAAGCCTCCCAAGATGAAGGAGAAGAAGAGGTTAAGAGTAACTTAGATCTTGATGAATTTTTCAACAATGGAGATGATTGTAAAATGCCGACAAAGAAACAAAGTTAGACAAAGGAGTAGAGGGAATTTATCAATAATAGAAAGAAAGTTAGACAAAGAAGTAGAGACAATCTATCAGAAAGAAATCTATCAATAATACAAAGAAAAAAGCAAATGACAAGGAAATAGAAAGAATTTGGCACAATAAAGTTATGTAATAATTTAAAAGAGTATCCGGCAATAGTATTCGCAATTATTATAGTGTACTTTTTTGGATTAGAAATCAATGTTTTAAGTTGTGTTAGAGGCATTCGAAAAGGAACCTTTTCAAAACAAACCCTCTCTTGTAACCTACAAAATTTTTCTAAAGTCTAAGCTTTCTATTTTTAGTCTTTCCCACAAAGATTGTATCAACTTGCAAAAACATAACAAAAGTTCTATAATATTTTGCTAAGAATCATGTTTCTTATTTTTACATTATAGTCTAATTATTTTTACTCTGCTCCTTGTTGTATCTTCTTATTTTAGTATTTGTATGATATAAGATTCCATCGTCTCTGGTATTAGAGCCTAAACCACAGGAGAGGTTTAGGTTCTTCTGGTTCTAAGTGTTAAAAAATAGATAACAGTGAGAACTATGAATACATTGGTCAGCCCCGATAGTGGTCTCATCAATAAGTCCTCACCTTAGGCCTTAAGTACATTGGTTAGCTAGGGTGGTCCCATAGCCTAATGTGTTAACTTTAAAATCAATACAAAAAATGTCATCTATAGTTAGAAGCGTTAGGTCAGTTTTAGGAAGTAATAGATAAAGTATAAAGATAAGAACACAAAATGGAGAAATAGGAACTTCTCTATTTAGACAAAATCTCTCAATATAACTAACAAAAAACTCATTACATAATTGGTCTATACCATAAATAAAAACCTTTAAAAATTTATAAATCAATATCACTTTGAGAATCAAGACCAAATGCACAAATACATGTGGTACAATACTCACGACTAGGAATAACAAATAATAAAGAAATCCAACTTTTAGAAAATGAATTATTAAAAAAATATGTACAAGAAGGATACAATTTTGTCCATTTAGGATTAATTCAAGTAGCAGTTAAATCCAAATATAGGATAGAAGTTGATATGCCTATTCTTCTATATTACTATGAGATATGAGATTATACATAATACAAGACTCAAAAATAGCAGCCTTAGAAAGTAATCTTCATGATGGTTCTTCCTTATTTAACTATTATCCTAATTTTTTAATGAACTTGGATAATGAAAAACAGTAGAAGTTATAAAAATTTTCATAAATTATCTGACAAATGTTGCAGATTGTAACACCCTCTTCTCATTTTTTGGTAACTATGTTTTATTAATGTTAAGTAGCATTAGAATGCATTTAGATGAGAGTTTGGAGGATT